GACCCACCCGGCGACCCACCCGGTGACCCACCCGCGACCCACCCGCATTACTTTGATGATGAGATCGGCGCCGGCGACGGGCTCGTTGTGCAACGTGTCAAAAAAATCGGCGCCTGCGGTGGGCTTCTTCAGCGCCTCGCAAACTGCTGACGACTCCGCCGCCCACTCAACCTTATCTGTAACTGCGGGGGGGGCTACGATACATTTCTTTTAACAACCGGTGAGAGAGCCCAGGCCACCGCAGTAGGTGGCCCATCGTGACCCACCATCGTTGCTGTGAAATGAAGACTCGCGATTGTCACAAGCACACTATGGCTCTTCCTAGAAGTCCACCAGCCCTTTGGGCATATGTGGTCTGACAAGATGTTTCTTCCCTCGTCCCAGACTCCTCTTCCATTCGGGGAGGGATACCCTCCCCACTCCTCCCCGAGGTTACCTTGCCCCGTTCCCCTGTGATCTATCAGAGGGTCGATGCTTCGCGGACCAAGATGGCTCCCAGAGGATCTCCGATGCTCCTTGATGGTCTCCGAGATAGCCGAGAATAGTTCAAGATTGCTTCCATCATGCCTCCGATAGGCCCCAAGAGAGCCCCACAAGGGGCCCAAGATGTCCCCAAGACGGCCTCAAGAGCGCCCCAAGAGGCGATGTTGATGGTCCTAGAGACAAGGAAATCGAGGACCTCTATGTTTTGATCGACGCCCTCTAACAGGAGGCGAACCAGGTCTCCCAAGAAGCCCCCGAAGCGGGTCCGAATACCCTCCAACAGAGCCCCAAGACGACCACAATGCTCTCCAAAATAGCCCCAAGAGGACACAAAGAGGGCCTCAAGCCAACCATAAGATGGTTGCCAGAGCACTCGTCCTCGTCCTCTGAGTCCCCCTCGTCCTCGTCCTTCTCATCTTCGTCCTCTTCCTCTAAATCCTCGCGTCGGGCTCCTCATTGTCCAATTCCTCATCTTCATCCTCGCCCATGCCCTGGTCCTCTTCGTGCTCGTCTTCTACTCGTCCTCTTCTTCCCCGTCCTCATCATCCTTCCTCCACATCCTCCTCGCCCTCCTCGTCCTCGTCGTTCTTATCGTCGTCCTCCTCTAACTCCTCGTCGTCGGGATCCTCCTTGTCCTGTTCCTCATCTTCGCCCTCCTCTTTCTCGTCCTCATCCTTGCCCTCGTCCTCTTGTTACTCGTCTTGTACTCGTCCTCTTCCCCGTCATCATGTTCTTCCTCTCTCCTCCTCCGTCTCGTCGTCGTCCTCGGAAGATGGCTCCAAGAGTCCTAGTCCGTCTCCTCCTCCTTCTCATCATTCTCCACGTGTTCGTCTACCTCGCCCTTGTCCTCCTTCTCCTCGCCCACCTCGCTCTCTGCGCGAAGGGCCTTGCAACAAGCACCTAGCAACCGCGGGGCCTACTCGAAGTGCACCCTTCCGACTAGCGTGAGGGAGACGGGGGCCTGGTGGAAACGAGCTCGGGACCATGCATGGGGCCTGTCTGGGACCAACCACCCATCCTAGGCTCGTTCTCTGATGGTCCCGGGGCCATCCCTTGAGCCCGCAAACGGCGAAACGCCTCAAGGACCCTTGCCGTCATCAGAGCGAGAGGGCCGAACGGTCCTACACCACCCCTGGGTGCGTCCCTCAAGTTGGGCTTCCTCGGTGAGGCGTCGTGGTTTTTGCTGTTGGTTGGTGCTTGTCAAGACCCGAATTTGCAGGCGTCAGATGGCTTATGTGCAGGGACCCTCACCAAGGCTTTTCACGCGTGCTTGGAGGCGCTGGTTAGCACACCTCCGGGTCTTGGCTGGCGCCGCAGAGGCACGCATCCTATCCTTGATGCTCTGTTGTGGGGGACGGATGCTGGGTGGACGTTTGTCAACCAGGCCAGTGCTGATGGCCTCCGGGGGGGACTGTCCTGTGCGGTCACTGGCGCAGGATTAAGAATGTGGCCCCAAGGGCCTGGATGATTCACAAAGTCAAAGCCCATTTAAAGGAAGACTCCGAGGCCCAGCCCAGGTGGAAAACACGAGGCAACAACTGGGCCGACGTGTATGCAAAAGAGGCGGCTGGTGTTTATAGGTCCCCCCAAGATGTTGCCACCATCACCGCCCAGCTCTTTAAATGGAACCTTGTTGCCGACTTTGCGGCGGCCGTTCTGGAAGAATGGCCGTCCGCTCGAGAACTATTTGGTGAGTTAGGCAGAGCTCCCAGAGCCAGGCCAGAAAAGCAGAGACATGTTTATCTTGCCCATACAGTCATGTTTATCTTGCCCATACAGTCAGATGGATGGGCAACGCCTGGCAGTGTTTTGAGTGCGCCAGGACGTTTCGGACTGTGAAAGCGGACGAGAGCTCGGCTTGTGGTCCCCTCGCCCCTGCCCTTCGCTCCCTCCTTTGCCCGCTGGTCCCCCCTTCCCCTCCCCACACCTTCCGAGTGGCCAGGGTCCTTGCAACGGGGCAGGGGATTCTCTTTTGCAGCGTGTGTGGAAGTTACACGTCAGGCCGCCACCCGAGGGACCTGACCAGCGGATGTTTGAATGTGAAGAAGAAGAAGAAACAGGTGCGGATGCTCAAAAATGGTCGCCTTCCGTGGCCCAGGGGTCCTCTCGGGCTCATTTCCCCGTTCTGGACTCCTGGGGCCAAGGTTGCGGAAGGCTGGGGGTCTTTGTTCAGAGACGAGCATCCGCACCACTGATCTTTTGGAGATTTGTTCACGAACACTTGTGCCAATTACATTCTCGTGTGCAAAGCAGGGCCTGTCGCAGGCCGATGCGCACACTCTCATCTTTTGTTTCAGGGTGGATGTTGGATAATATGTATCTGGCTGCCCGCCTCCCACCGTGGCCCCAACGAGGTGCCGTGCCTCCTTCGCTCTGCGAGTGTTGAAGAGGCGGGATGTCCAAGGCAAAAAGGCCTCCACTAGGATGGGTCACCCTATCGTCTCGGGAATCCTCATTATCCGATGGGTCGTGCTTGGGCCGTGGGGCCTATGGTGTTCTGAAGCTTGCGGACACTGCTCTAGGTAGGACACGGGACTGTGGTTGTGTTAACTGGCGCGCCACAAGCGGAGTCCTCCCACTCCTCATCCTCATCATCTCAAGGTGCATCGTTTCGAAAACCCTGAATCCAACAATCTTGATATATCTGGGGGGCGCAATATTTGTCCACCAAATTCTGCCGCCCAAACCCTCGTTCTATTTCAACCGCCTTTCGCTGGCCTTGCGCGGAGAAAGAGAAGCCAATTCCTCTATGTCTGGAAAGCGGGGCTTTCCAGAACACCCGACATGTCGCACAGGCCTTGCCATCCCCGCTCGCCTCGGCGTCCCTCGCGGCGTTCTCCAAGGAGTATTGCACCTCTGCCAGGCTGGCCTCCGCCGCCACGCGGGACAGGGCCTCGAAGTCCACGACTCCTGCCGGGGTGAGGCTCAGGAAGAATACGCTCAGTATGGCGAATCCCCAGGCCAAAGAACCCACGACAGAAGGCCACCGCCAGCACGTCTGCACCTCCGCTGCCTTTGGAGCCGAGCCCCGGGAGCTCTGGAGGACCTCGTGGCTTTGGCCATCTCCCTGCCCCGGAGGGCGCGAGCGTATCCGGGAATCCGGGGCAGGACTCTGGCGCGCGTGCCACCTCGGCGCCAGCATGGGCCTCGGGTCGGGCGAAAGGGGGGGATAGCAAAGGGGGGGTTTGAGAATCAGCTCACGTAGCTGATTTTCCCAGCGCCTCCCGGCGCCAGGAGGCGCCCATATATCGAGGAATGGGCCCCTCGGTGAGGCCGAAACCAGCTGCATGTAGCAAATTTCGTAACCCCCCCTTTCCCAATCCCCCTCTTTCGCCCAACCCGAGGGCCGCGGGCCGCGGCGATCCCCCCTGGCAGGCACGGCCCCCCGGCGCTCTCCCGCCGGCGGGGCGGGGCCGCCCTCCCGCCCGCGCGCACCGCCTGCTGCGCGAAGCGAAGCCCGCAGCCGCCTCCGCCTCTGCGCGGGAGCTGCCCGCTGCCGTGGGGGCCGCCGCGGTGCCGCGGTGCCGCCGCGCACCGCCGCGGGGGGGGGGGGCCTCCTCCTCCTGCTCCCCCTCCTCCTCCTCATCCTCCCCCTCCTCCTCCTCCTCCTCGTCCTCCTCCTCCTCCTCCTCCTGCTCCAGTGGCAGGGGGGGGGGGGGCGGGCGGCAGGGGGCAGGCTGCCCATCGCGCCACGGCGGTGCGGGCTCACAGTCGTCGATGAGGTCGTCGACTGCGGCCGCCCCGGCCGTCGTGGCTGGCGCCGCCGCCGCACCCAGTGCCCCGCACAGCCGGGGTTTCGCCTAGAGGAGGGACAGGGGACGGGGCGCCCTCGCGAGGAACACAAGGGGGCAGTAAGTGGAAGGACCAAAGGAACCTGAGATTCTCTCAGAAGCAAAGTGAACCCTGTCCCCGAATTGACTGCACAGCATCTGGGACTGGTTGCAGAGGGCACCCGAGAGGACTCTCTTCTGATGGCAGCCCATGCTCTGGACACGAAGAGGGCAGACACGATAGCCAAGACGCAGGGCGCGGCTTGCTGCGGGGGATGAGGAGCCGCGGCAGGAGCAGCAACAGGCTGTTACATTCTGGGCACTGCCGAGCCACGACATGAAGACGAACTGGCACAATCGCGGAGACAGGGAGCTCCTGAAGTTCACACTGCAGGGGCGATGCCCAACCTGGCATCAAGAAACGAGTCCTTGACGCAAAGAGACTTTCGCTCGGGATGGCGCCCCGAGAGGCCGAAACCGGCGAACAACTCCAGCACCCTCCTTCCTAAGAGGGAGCGAAACATAATGGGGGGGACTGGCTCAGAGGGGGGACCATCGACCTGGAATCGGCGACACATCGCCCATAGCTCGGGGATGGGCCCCGATGGCGAATCCGCATTCGTCCAGGGCGAGGTGGGCTATCGGACCCCTCTCGGCGAGGCATGGGCGGTGGCGGGCCGATGCATCCCCCCCTTGGAGCCTCTCCCTCCCGATGCCCTGCCCCCCTATCTCGGGGGCGGCCAGGAGGGCGGCGTCCGAGAGGGGGGGGTGCAAATCATGACCGGCGGCATTTGCGTGGCCCAGGGAGGGGGCTGGGGACGTCATGACATAAGAGGAGGCGCAGTGAAATCCGGGGACATGGCGTGGCCCACGCCATGACATCCACCCCCCCCAGTCATCATCCCCCTCTTTGCCGCCCCCGACCTGAGGGGGCCCTGGGACACACAAACAAATAGACACAAATGACAGGATTCCCTGTATTTTCCAATATTTTCTGGGTTCTAGTCTTCCCCCCCACTTCCCCACAGTTCCCCAGATCTTACTGGGAATCGACGATTCACTGTGTCTGCGTGTTTTCCCCCCCCTGACGACCACCTGCCCACGTGCCGAAGCAAAAGCAAAAAAAAAAAAACACGGCGCGTCCGAAGCAGGCAGCGGCCGCTGCCGCTGCCGGGCAGGCGGCCGAGGCCGGGCCGCTCTCGCGCCCCGAGGCTGTCGGCGGACGTCGCTCGGGGGCCAGACACAGGACACGAGGGTACCCTCGATTTGGCAGGGCCGAGCTACTAGTCTGGGCCGACTGTAGACAGATTGCCGGTAAAGGTCCTGCATACTTCGTGAACGCCAACTGTAGACATATTGACAGTGAGGGAGCCCGGGCCCCCAGGCCCATCGAGCCCCCCCCCCTCCCCCCCTGATGTGACTGTGCAAAGCTGCGTATGGTCTTCCGCCGCAAAGATGCAATGCTAAGGAACGAAGGACGAAGGCCCAGTAACGTTTGGGCTTGCGAAGAAGGCCATGAGAAGATGCAACACACGGCCTAAGGATCATCGAGCCCCTTCCAAAAACGAAGTGGTCCTTACTCAAACGGTGTCACTGCAGGGGGGGAGGGAAGGCCCGTGCCTTCGCCCATAACCATGGACCATACCCATACGGTGTCTGGTTCCCGTCTGGAACCAGAACCTGGATTTCCTGTGTCATGAGACAACTCATGGACTGTCATCGTGGAAGCGATTCGGACTTATTTGGCCTGCCTCATTCGTTAATGCTGTACCACTACACGCTGGATTTAGATGGACTGGGACACGTTTCGACCAAGGATATACCAGCGCCGATGCAGAGTTCAATCTCCCAGGAAACCTGCACGCTGGACGAACTGTGGATCTCTTCGCGCCCTCGCGACCTTTCTCTGGAGAAAAGCAGCTCGCCAACCCTGAGAAGCGCGAAGCACGGTTATCTTCGCGCACCTGTGGTTGACCTGCTTAAATTTCTGGGCCAACGCCACCCAGCGTCTGACTCTAGGTGAAGGTCCGGGTGCTGGCGGTGGCTCCTAGACGTCGCTGCCTGTCCTGCTCGTCCATGACAGCGGTGAAGTACGCCTGGCCCGCAAATGACAGAGGCAGTACTGGAGGACGGGGGAGGAGGAAGAAAGGCGTCCGCAATAGAAAGGGGGAGGCAGACGGGAAGGAAAAGGATTCGTTCGTTTACCCACTCAAACTTGAAGGTGTTGGATGAAAGTAATTGGGGGGCTGGGGGGTGGGAGGGGGGGGCAGCGGAAGAGACAGGCGGAGAGAGGAGGGAGGATGGGGCGGCGGAGGGGGGGGATTGAGGCAACGGCCCTATGGTGCCTGAACGGGGCAGGGGCGCGGAAACAAAGCGGTCCCCTGAGGAGGGGGAGGAGGAGGCACACCAGCAGCAGCAGCAGGAGCTGGGGCACAACGAGGACGCGGACGAGCAGGAGCTGCATGAGAACGATGCGCCCCCTTCCCATGACGTTTTAATAATCGTGACGTGGGCACATGGGGATCTGGACATTTTGTCCCCCGGGGCCAGCGCTTCGTCCTGAGATCTGATTTGGCGGTCCTGAAGCCAGAAACCGGCCTGCAGAAGCCGAAGCCGGCGAACAAATTAATGCCGCGATCTTCTTGCGACGCCTAAATCTGCAAGGAAGCGCCGCCCTCGAACGGAAAGAAGGCGCTCGCGCGGCCCGGCGCCGCGAGCGCGTGAGGCAGCCCAGGCAGCGAACGTTCCCAGGAATGCGCACCGTGGGTGCTCGGTCCAGTCCGAAAGGCTCCAATATGGAGGAACCGTTTCGTGCGCCACCCACGCTTCTTGGGGTTCATCGCGTGACAATTACTCGCCGTCGGCTCGGTCGGCCATGCCCCGTGCATTGTTTGGTGTCGTGTGTGCATTTGCTTTTTCTCCGCAAGATGATGCAGGATGCCCCATCGATAGCCCTCGCCGAGAAAATATGCGCACGCCCGAGCGATGCCAGGACTAGAAGGGCAGAGGGGCAGAGGGGCGGGGCTCGGAATCCAACCTTTCCAAAGCGGCCCACGGTTGCCCCGTAAACCTGTCTTGGGCTCTCCTTGGGGGGGCCGCTTGGGCCGACTTCGGAGCCCGGGGCACTGGCCCGAATATCTAAATCATCTAGAGGCACTTGCTTCGTGTACGTATGATTTACTCATTCCCGCCGCATCGGTCTTCAGAGCGCTCAAACAAGCTTAAAATTCTTACATAATCGCCTCAAGACGGCCACAAAGCCCCTAAGACGGGCCCGCGTGGATCCCAAGACGGCTGCAGAAGGAACCCCCGAATGAGAACTCGAAGGGGCCCCAGAAACCCTTGCCCCGAGAAGGCCTCCGAGACCGCTACCACACCCTCAAGGGGCCTCCAACACAGACCCCGCAAGGAAACCAACAACGGCCCCAAAAAGCCTCGAGAGTTCCACACGAAGCCTCCAAGAGGCCTTCAATACCCCCACGACGGCCCTCCCCCAAGAAATCGCAAGAGACCCATCAGAAGAATTCTCTGGCCCCCGATCTAGGCACAGGGGCGGAATGGGCAAATTCCACAAAGAGAATGCGCACACGCACATGCCACATGTATACCAGCGTCCCCGGCCTACGCCTTAAACGTTCAGGCGCGCGTCAACTGGGCAGGACCCAATCATCTTCGCCCTTCCCAGACATGCGCGTTGTCGAACGGCCAGGACAGGGCGAGGGAATTCAGGCTTTTTTGTTTGCCCCGCTCCGCGTGGATATTCTGCGACCCAAGCACCCGACAAAGGGGCGCGAAAGCATTGGGGGCGGAGCGGCAGCGACTCTGGATGTCAGGCATCATCGCGCCGCTTTCCTCTATGGTACCGCCGAGGTGTTCGCGCTGCCTCGAGATCCCCACGCCGACTGCCGCCTCGATGGGGCGATGTCTGCGCTTCCTGGTCGCGCGGCGGGCAACGAGGCCGATTGGCGGCACTGGGCGGCCACCCGCCATGTGATTATTATGCCTCTCCAGATTTGCCCCCCCCCCTCCCCAGACAAGCGCGTTTTCGGTTTAGCCGGCTTTCCAGTTGATGTCTGACGGCAGCGCTGAACTTGCCCGTCGTTGTCTTACGGGCAGAGGTAGCGACAACGACGGCCTCGTCGTCGATGAAGGTCACGTCGGTCACGCAGCGCTCGCTTTGCGCGCGGTCGGGCGCCGAGGGCATCGCCCCGACAAACCCACCGCGAACGACGTGCACCATGAGGGCTTTGCCGCACACGACATTGAAGGGCATACTTCCGAAGAAGCACCCTTGCCGACCCCCTTGTCTGACAATGAATTTGCACTGCGCACCCTTCATCGCGCGCCGCGTTGGAGCGCGCGTGGACCTCGGCAGCGACGCCTGCGTCTTCGAGATGCCAATATATTGCAGGATGGTGCCCCCACGACCTCGCCGGCAATCGCGACCACTTGGCAAAAGCTGAGCCCGAGTTGTCCGCAGTCGGCACACGCCCCGGCGACGTCGCTGCCGACGGCCCCCCCTGCCTGATAACCACCAGAACACCGAAGCGCGCACCGCGCGGTCGTGTGCCTCTGTCAAATCGAGGAAGAGCAAGCCGATGGACAGCTCGCGTTCCTTCGCACATGCTTGTGCGCTGCGAGTGATATGGTGGCCTCGCGCTGAAAGGCGGGCATGCGCTCCGAATGCGGCTCGAGAAAATGATCATGAAGCGCGGCCAAAGAGATTTCACCGATGCGACCCCCAATCGGGAGTCCTCGATCATTCTCAGCGTGCGACGCGTCGTCTTTTGTTGCGGAAGTTCCGGCAGCCGCTCACCTCGGCGCGTCTTGGGCCACTTGCGAAGGCCAGATCTGTTCGTTTAGTTCTGTCACGCGCAGCGCCATTGCAACCCCGCCGGCCTCGAGGAGTTTCCTGCCGACGACGTCACAGCCGAGCCCCCTGCCACTATTGCCTCTTGAGGGCCTTGGTGCCTTGCCAGATGCGAGCGGCGCTGGGTGGCGTCAAACTCTCGTCGCAGTCGAAGTCCAACTCGCTCTCGTTCGGCAGCTCGTCGCCTTCCAGCTTTTCAGCGCCGAATGCATCGCAGGAGTGGTCAGTGAACTGGTCAGGGCACTGCTGCGGGGACCGCGTCCTCGACGCGCCCAGCCATCTCACGCTGCGTAGCGCTGTGGCGGGGCATCCGGCAACGGACTTCGCGCGCTTGCGCAGCCTCTTCGGGTGGCCTCTGGCCCCTGCCATGTCGGCCTCACGGCGCGCACTGTCCATCTTCGTGCTTCGGTCAATTTTGGCGGACTTCCGCTCAGCGGAGGCGACGCGTGCAAAATCGCGAGAGGCCGCCGCCCAGCGGCGATTCGCGTCGCGAAGGAGCACATTAACTTCGGTGCGCCATGCGCTCTGGCAGGGTTGGTCGCGCAAGTTAAGCTGCTTGTCGCGCTCTGTCCAAGCAGCGGAAACGCCCAGCAATATCAGCGCACTTCTGCGCCCCATGAGCCCGCGCGTCTTCTTCCCCAGGCAGTCGAGGATCCGCGCGAAACCCCGGGACTGATCAGGTGGCCAAGGCTTCCGGGGAATCTGAATACCTCGGCGCCAGAACAAATGAAAGCGCGCAGCGCTTCGAGGTGCGCGTCCGCCGCGCCGTCGGGCGCAGGCTGAAACGGAGCCACCCCTCCGCGGACCCCCCTCTCGCTGCGACGACGACCGCGGCAGCGACGGCGACGCCGACCGCGGCGGGCGAAGCGACGGCGGCCGACGGCGCGACAGACGGGGGACAGCGACGACGACGGCGACGAGCAGCGACGGCGCACATCGACGACCGCGACAACGAATGCGACGACGGCGGCGACCGCCAGGCGAAAGAAGATGCTGCGCCCACCGCGCGAGCGGGCGATATAGCGCCTGCGCAGAGACGCCGCTGCGCGCGCGCACGCCCCCCCCGCTGCGCGGGCGCAGCGGGCGCGCTCGGCGCGGCGCGCGGCGCGGGCGCGCGGGCGCCCGCGGTGGGCGCCCGCGCCGCGCTCTGCGACCCCGCGCGCGCGGGCGCGAAACCTCCCGGGGCAAGCGTGGCGCGGCCATGCGGCCCCGCGGCCACATGGACGCGACGCCATTCAATATTCGGAGGAATTCCGCGGGCATTACAACGCGCCGGGCTTCGGGGGGGCCGGGGCGGGGCCAGCGCCAACACGCGCGGCGTTCCAGGCCGCCCAGTTGGGGCGGCCCCTAGATGGCCCCAAGGCGGCCGAAGAGGGCCCAAAACTGCCTCGAAAATGCACCTGAGAGGCCGCCAGGACAGCCCCGCGAGACTTTCCCAGGGGGCCGAAGAGGGGCACGCGAGATGGCCCAGGGCAGAGCATGCCGGCAGAGCAGAGCGGCCCGCGGGGGGGCGGGGAGCCCGCGCGCCCCGGCAAGGCGCCAGGCCGACATGACAGGCGAGGCGCGAGAATCTCCACGCGTGAAACTGTGGAGCAACTGCGCGGGACGAAACGAATGCCGCTGCGCGGCGCGACAGAGGTCGATCGCCAGGCGCCCAGTTGGGTGCGGGGCCAGCAGCAGCAGCGGCAAGGAAAATGGGAGCAGACGGCAGGAGGGCGCGGGGGGCACGCGAACAAGGGCGGGAACAGGCAGCACAGTTGACCGAGCAGAGAGCAGCGCGGAGGAGACAGGACAGCGAGCGAGAGAGAGGCAACAGGGCAGGATGACGACGGACGGACGGACGGCAGAGGGGGGGCAACGGCGGCGCAGCAACGGCCGCAGCGGCAGCAAGGGAACGGGATAAGAAGAAACGGAAACAATTGCACGTCTGTCTACCGTTTCCGCGGGCGGCCCGCGCTTCCCCTTGCGCTCGCTCGAAACCGCGGTGCCCGGCCGACAGGTCTCGCGCTTCGTCGGCGGTCGGTTGGCGAGGAAAGCCCGCCTCCTGATGTTCAAGCTCTTTTCAGAACATGCGCGCCCAATCGCCCGCGCCGCTTCGCGCGGCCAGCCGCGCGCTGGCGCGCGTGGCGCGCCGGATGCAATCGACCCATCTATCGTCCACTAGCCGTCGAATGCCCGCCATCTGTTGCAAGGCCGCGCGGTTCGAAGCGCTCGCCCCCGGGCCGCCGCGAGCGCTCGCGCGCTGGAGGCGCGCGCGACGCAGGGCGGCGCGCATGCCCCGAGCAGTCCTAGACGGATGCGAGCCCGGCAGCGCCCGTTGCGAAAGACACCCGCCAAGGCGTGGAACGCGGCCCGCGCGGGAGCGGGGCGGTTGCCAAATGCTGCTCCGCGGGCGTCTTCCAAAGAAACTGTTTGGCCGATCTGCTTCTCTGACTCGCCGTGCCGGGGCGCCCTCCCACCGCGCGCGCCGCGCTCTATATGCGGCGGGCAGTCGCGCGCATTGGCCAGTTCCGATGTCGCGCCCATATGGACCTTCAGGCCGCTTTCATTAGCGCCCGCCTCCAAATCCGCGATCATGTCAGAGGCGCCCCTTTTGCGTTCAGAAAGAACGAGCGCATCGTCGGCGAAGCGCAGGTCTGTCAGGGGATCTCCGGGGCCACCCGCCAGTTCGCTTGCAATTTAGCTTGTTCCAGCGTGCCTTCAACCTCCAGAATGCACCAGCGTGACTATAGTGTGGCCCACGTATCATGCCGCGGCGAATGAAGGCGAGAGCGTCGCAAGACTCGCGACGCCCCCCCCCCCCCCCCTCCCCAGTGGAATCCTGCGCCGAGACAACAGCGCGCAGCGGCGGCGCAGCCGCGGCGAAAGAACAACGATTGTCCACTGATGCTAATTAGTAATAATTATTTACTCTTCAATAGATCAACGCTTCAACTCGCGCTTTGACACGTGGGGGGGATTCCGAACCGGCGCGACGGAGCTCCACTGGGAAAGGCAAATGGGCCCGAACATTCGCCCCGCCAAAGAATAGCTTGCATGGCCACTGGAAACGGAAAGCAACTTATCGGATCCCCCTGCTGCACGCCCCGCGAGATAACGAAGGGTCTACTTCTTCCGCCAGCGACCAGTGGCTGTCTGCCTTGCGTAGAGGCGCTTCAACGAACCGATGTATAAGATCGGGGCTACCTGGTCTACCAGGGCTGCCTAGAGTGCACCGCGTTCAACTGTGTCGAACGCCTTTTTCGACACCGATCGCGCCACTCCACAAATCTACATTGCACTCGTTACAAAACTTTGCAACATCTGAGTCTTAGTCTTAGAAATCAAGCGGTCCGCGGGTGCTGAAGCCCTTCCTGTACGCGGCTGGGCACACTAATTGCTCACCAATGACCGTGCCGCGGAGGCGGCCACGTAGGAACCGACTCAATAGCTTGTACAATAATGTTGAAATCGCGATTGACCGGTGATTGCCACGCATGGAAGCTTCCCCCTTCTTGTGCAACACAGTGATGCGGTCAGCCAACCACCCGTCTCGAAATTGTTCGCAGGGACACGGATCACGCTGAACGCTTCCAAGATTAGACTCCTCAGCGTTGGGCAGTCGACTTTCAAAAGCTCTGCTTTGACTCCGTGGTCGTCGCCTGCTTTGCCCCTTTTCATCCGTCGGGTAGCGGCGTCCACCTCTTCCGTCGTGAAAGGGGACACGCTCTCTGCCCCTCTGGGCGCGCGCACATATGGCCTGTCGCGGCCCCTGGTGGTCGCGTACAGGTCCTCCTCGAAACAGAAAAAAACACAAACACTTCGGCGATCGAGGTCCGCTCATTATGGGCATGCCCGCCCTGATCCTTCACTTCCGTGATGTGGCACCTCGACCGATTACCTACCATTTTTTCCAAGTACAAATACCAAGGACATAAAATACCAAGGTACTCCTCCAATATCCTTTCCGCCTTGCCAATTCTGGCGTTGACCCGGCGAACGCGCATCGTGTTTTGGATTTACTTGTTCCATTGCACCATGATGTGTTTCTTGTCTGCTGCCAGCAGGTCTGCCGTCCGAAGACTCCTGCGCATAGTTATCATCACGCGCAACTCTTCGTCCGACTCGAAAACGAGCTGTCGTTGGCTCGGCGCCTTCGCGCGCCTGGTCGTCACGAGCTGCGTCCGTCATGCACTCGTTCAACATATTGAGATTGCCGGCGGCGGTCATCTCGCACCAATTGACGGATTGCACGCGCGCCTCCGAAGGCGGAGCGTACGATGCCCCCGGTTATCAGGGTGGGTCCTGGGTTTTTCTTACGTTTTCGCCTGCGCAGGCGAGCAGAGGGTAATGTCAGTTTCAAGCAGACAAGTCTGTGATCAGATGCCACGTCTATGCCAGGCGATGTCATGCAGATGGTACAGACTGAGTGCAACGCGTGGTGAAACAGAAAATAATCAAACTGCGGTCTTCGATCCCTATTTCTGTATGTCAACGCTTCTTCGAGTGACTGATGGTTGAATATGTTAGCTACAAGCATGCTCCGCAAGCGGCGCCACTGGATAAGCAGGTCCCCTTTGTCATTGCGCTTCGGCATGGGATTTTCTCCAACCACGTTTCTGTCATCGTGCTATCTTCTCGGCCCAGACTCTGCCGCAATGACGGTTATCCCTTTTCGACAAGCTTCTCTATGCTGATCGTCAATTTGAGCGTACACGGCCTCCACTTCCTCCCCTACCTCCTCCTCCTCCTCCTCCACAACTCCTCATCCTCCTCCTCCTCCTCCTCCTCCTCCTCCTCCTCCTCCTCCTCCACATGGCGCCGGGCCCAAGACGCCCAGGCAGGACCCACGAAAACCACTTCAAGGAGGCGTTGAACGGGCGCGCGAGCCCTCCGCAAGGCGTTGGGGTCGTCGACGTCGTCGTCGTCATCGTCGTCGGTTCGTCACTGCTGAAGAGGAGGGCTCCCTCCATCTCCTGCCCCCCCTCCTCCTCCTCGTCCTCCATGTCCTCGTCGTCGTCCTCCTCCTCCTCCTCGATGCTGCGGTCGGTTCTTTTCCACCTCCCTCTCCTCCTCCTCCTCCTCCTCCTCCTCTTCTCGCGAGGGCGCCGGGGCGACGCCAGCCTGCGAGTTGCTCGCCCGCGTAGGGCCGCGGCCGAGGCCGAGGCCCCTGCGGGAGTTGTTGGCGAGCACGGGGTCGGTCCGGAACAGCGCCTCCTCGGCTCGGCCCCCTCCCGCTCTTCGGGTGTTGCCAGAGGTTTGAGCAGGGACCGACCGTCCCGGCATTTCTATAGCCCTACCACGAGATGATCTTAGAACCCAGAGATGTTCAAGAACAAAACAACAATCTTAGAACATGAGCCCGATGTGTGAAAGCAGGACAGGCTCAGCCAGAACCGTTCTAAGGACAGTTCGTGCAAACCGCAAAAGGTTCTTAGAACATGGTTTGGTGGGCCTATAGGCGGGCCAGGACGCTTCGCCACTGCTTGAAGAGGTGGCTTTGGCCCAAGGTGTGCCTGGGATTCCCGAAGGGGCCCCCACGGCCGCCAGAGCGCCCCTCGCGAGGCCCAGCGGGCCACGAGGGCTCCAAGAAGGCTTCGTCCAGGGGCACCTGTGGCAGGCCCGGAACTCTGGCGGCTCGCCGAGGTCTGTGACGGGGTGGATCCCCGGGGAACGATTGAGGGCTACGAGGCCAGATTGGAGGGCTAGGGGATTGGGGTTGCACATGTGCCCGATCAGCGCTGGATTTCGGAAGCGATACACCAGAGCCGATGCTGCATTCAACCTTTTCGGGACTTGCAATCTCAGGGAGGGAAGGGGATCGAAGAGTAGAGGGGTGACGGCGGGGGGGAGGCGGGAAGATCGAAGTGTATGGTTTCATTACAGCTCACTTTTTTTCACAGGTCTTATGACAGCTCGTTTTGCCACAAGTTTTTTCACAACTTTTTCATCCACTTCCATGAAAACCAACAAAACGCCCCCCGTACGAGACTCACCTGTGAAAAAAACGATTGGCTGCTTCTGCCCCCCCGTGAAGCTGCTGATGGGGGCGGCGGGGGGGTGGGGGCGGAGCGAAGAAGTCTAGGGGGGGACGGGGAAGCCTGCCTTTTCAGACGGAACAACACCCTCTTCAGGGGAGGAGCAAGGATGAGGAAGGAGGGAGTAGGAAGGGTAGGCAGTGGGAAGGAGGCAGGGATGGGAGGTGGGCTGGAGGAGCCCTCCAATAAGTTCGTTCGGAAACAAAGGTAGCGCAAGCGCATCCAATGACAACGGTCGTCTTAAAACATTGATCACCCCACATACTGGGAATTCCGATGGAGAAACTTGTTAACCGCCTACCGCTGGTAGGCAAGAAGTCGTGCTACTTGAGAACAACTGTACTGCGACCAAGAGTACGTCAAGCCCAAGAGTTTCTGGCCCCACGCCAGAGACCGCTCCATCGAAGCTTCGAGACGGCTTCACAACGGCCCAATACCAGCCCAAGACGGACCAGCACCTCCGCCGGACTCTCCCCGAACCCTCGACAGCAGCCCTTGACTCCCAACATGAGCTTCAAAAAAAGTCTCCACGAGACCTCTGGGAGGCTCCCCCAAGAAATTACCCCAGTGCGACCCTACCTAGAAGTTGGAGCCCCTAGGAAACCAGCATTAGTTGCTATGCTATGCCATGCTATGCTATGCCATGCTATGATACGCTATGCTATGTTATGATATGGTATGCTATGCTATGATGTGCTGCGCTAAGCTATGATATGATATGCTATGATACGCTATGCATGATATGATATGCTATGCTATGATCAGCTATGCTATGTCATGCTGCGCTGTGCTATGCTAAGCTATGCTATGATATGCTAAGCTGCGCTATGATATGCTATGATAATGTGTGTTATGCTATGATATGTTATGATGCGCTATGATATGTTATTTTATGATATGATATGTTATTGGTTGGCTATGTTATGCCATGACATGGTATGCTAAATCAGCGCTGCGCTATGCTAAGCTAAGCTAAGCTAACCCTCTAGGAAAGCCTAAGTAGGGAATTACACCCATGCTATGCTGTGCTGCGCTATGCTATGATATGATATGCTATGCTATGCTGCGCTATGATATGATATGCTATGTTGAGCTATGCTATGATATGATGTGCTGCGCTATGCTATGATACGCTATGCTATGTTATGATATGCTCTGCTATGCTGGAGCCCAGCGAAGCTAAGATGAAGGTAAGCTAAGCAAAGCTACACCTGAGCTAAGATGAACCTAAACTAAGGTAAGATTGAGGGTTGCCGACACTAGAGAATACTCGGCAAATGCTTATGTCGCCGCTGCCGCTGTCGCGGAGGAAGAGAAGGGGATGAGGAGACGGAGGAGGAGACGGAGGAGGAGACTGAGGAAGAGGAGGAGAATGACAGGGCGAACCAGGCGTCGCGCAGAGTTCAGTGACAGCCACGAGCTTTGGGGAAGGGGGGGCGGCATAACTGAAGACCTCCTGCGATTATGTGTGGCGGCGCATCCGAGAATCTCCACGCAGGAAGGCGCCGAGACATCTGACGACGTTTCAACTGGTAGACCCGAAGGTGTAGACTTCTTCTCTAGGGGCAACCTTTCGTCCCGAATCCGTTGCTGGCGGCCCTGGATGGTCCGTGGGCCGAGAAACGGCCCTCAGTGACCAGAAACTGTTTGATCCCACGAATCTGAAATATTCCAGACGTTGGAGGTATGGGAGAGGAGCGGAGACCGATGTTGACAGTCACGAGGCCCGAGCAGGGTATATCCATGACCCGAAGCAGAAATGGTTAAACAACTAAGCCTTCGATCCTCGGGAAGGGAGGATACGAGGACGACGACGAAGAACGGAAGGGGATAGCTAATTGGTAGGCTGACAGGCCTCGCCACGCTCCACTGCTTCCGAGTAGGCCGTGGCAATCTCCACCTGCTCGCCGAGGAAGGACTCGAAGTCTTCTGGCGACCACCACAGGTGCCTTTCGAAAACAGGCGGAAGAACTCACACCCTGACCTCCAACGAATTGACTGCTTTAAACGCGTCATGTTTGATTGAAATCAGCCTCGGGCCGCTCTTTTTGGGCCCCCGTGCCACCAAAACTGCATCAGGGGGAAAAGCAACTCCTGGGGAAGAGGGCGAGACCTCTAGGGCCCATGCGTTGAACAAACCACATCGCCAGACGTCTGCAACGGCGTTGACGATGGGCGGCAACGCTGGATGCGAGGAGCGAGAGGAGGGCAAGCGGGTTCAAGACAAAGGGAACAGATGCAAAGAGAACCACGTAGTCCAAACGTACAGCCTCAGCATCCCGTCATAGAAAAAACTGGTGCGATTCGAACAGCAGATCTTCTGCAACATCATTGACGAACTTGGCAGGAGCACTCGCCATTCGAGAACTGACCGAGCTTTTCAATCCCACTCCAGCAAGCGAAGGCGATTTACACAGCTAACCGCCCACAGGAAGACCCTGTGTCCTCCGAAAGCGAAACGAAGGGAAGCTGGGTGTCGCTGGTCGATCGTCCATTTCGCTTTCGGGTCTTGGTCGTGCCAAGCCAAAAGACAAACCTGCGGCGCCGCTTCCCCCCGGGACCCGCCCGCGACCTCGAACCTCCGTGGCGCACCTACGATATCGTGCCCCTTCCCTCCTCGGGGGCCTCCGCCTTCCTCTTTGCCCTGTCCTCGCCCATCACCTCTCCTTCCTACCCGTCCCCACCACCATGGCACTTCAGGGTAGATTTTTCCGACCCCTGCCCTCATCTGGCACATGCAGCGCACTTACGCGAAATGTCGCGCGAATCTTCGTACCAGACCGAAGCCTCGTTTACCTCTGGGGGAATGTGTTTCTCTTCTCCACCTCCACTTTCTTGTCCGAATTACTAGCTGTAGGGGGGAGATGAGAGAGCGATTGATGCCAGGCCAAAGAGATGTCTCCCAAATGTGTTTGGCCAAAGTATGTAGCACCCCCCAATTGCGGATAAGAGTGAGGGGATGGGTGCGGGGTGGGTCGCGGGCAGGTCGTGGGGGTGTGTTGTGGGTGGGTCGCGGGTGGGTCAAAGGAAGGTCGCGGGCGGGTTGCGGGTGGGTCGTGAGCCGGGTCGCGAGAGGGACGACGACGACGACCACAACAACACCACCACCATCAACACCACCAACACCACCAACAACAACACTCATTTTAAGACTGTTCGCTCTAATCTGCTCATGTGCCATTCAACACGTATATCCCAAATGCCCCGATTACCCGCCCTGTTCGTCTTCGATCGTTCCCCCTCGGGGGTACATCTCTCTTGCCTGCAACGTGTATTTCGTGCAGCCCCTAAGGCAGAGGAACAGAAGACGGATGGAAGGAAGGGACAAGGGGCAGGCGGGTTGCTGAGAACATTCTCGAACGAGAGCGCGATCCCCAAATGAATCCACAACGAGAGCGTGATTCCTGAGTGTCGAGGGCGCGGCGTCTGAATACAGTGCGGGGAAGTACCACACGAGAGCGCGATTCTTGGATAAACTGTGAGGAAGTCCCTGGCGAGAGCGCGATTTGGGGAATAACTTGTGCGGGAGCGTCAGGCGGGATGTTGTCGCTGTGCACTGGGGTGACCTCACATCTTCCCTGGAGAAAAAAGGATGCGAGCCCCGTGATAAACACTTGAATTGAAACATTGAATGGTTACTGGAGGGGGACACAACAAACATCAATCGTTCGGAATGGGAAGTCAAGAACAGCACCAACAACAACAGCCGAACCAGAACAACAACAGCAACACCAACAACAACAACCACAACACCATCACTACCACCGACAACAACATCAATATCAATACCAAACACAACACTATCAAATTCAACACCCATACTAATAACAGCAACGGACACAACAACAATAGCAGCAACAGCGACGACAACGACAACGACAACGACAACGGCAATGACAACAACAACAACAACAACAACAACAACAACAACAACAACAACTACAGCGGCAAACACAACAACACCAAGAACTCCGAAACCATAAACAACAACGCCAACAATCATGTGCACCAACAATCACAATCAAAACCATACACATAACATCAACCACCTACGTTCCCTTTAACAAACAAGGTGCGAGTCCCGTGATAAGCACTTCAATTGAAACATACAACGGCGAATGATCTTGTCGCAACGAGAATTCAGAAACAACAATCATTTTAAGGTGTTCACTCTTACCTGCCCGCGTGCCATTCAGCACGTATATCCCAAACCCTCGATACCCACCCTCTTCGTCTTCGATCTTACTCCCTTTGGCGTGTGTCGTCTTGCCTGCAACGTTTACTTCATGCAGCCCCTACGGCAGGGGAAGACAGGACGGATGGAAGGAATGGACAAGGTGGAGGGAGGATGGAGCACGAGTAGGAGAGTAGCAGGAGGGGGGCTAAGAGCAGAACGCACGTGGCAACATAAAACGGGCCTATCGGTCGGGTAGACACTAACAGGCGGGCCGGTAAGGCGGGCCCAGACGGCCAGGTCGAGCAGGCGGGTTGCTGAAGAGTGCGTCCTGCATGAATCGCGAGTAGGTATCGAGCGACAGCGCGACTCCAAAATAAATCGTGAGATAGGCCAAAGCCAGGACGTGATTCCTGAGTGTTGAGGGCGCGGCGTCTGAGTAGATTGCGAGGGGTGCGAAGAGATCCCACGCGAGAGCTCGACTTCTGCATAAGTTGTGAGGAAATACTGCGCGAGAGCGCGATCTAGGAATACATTGGGAGGACGTATCAGCCGGGAGCCGCTGCTGTTGTGAACCAAGTTCCAGGGGCGCAATTTGGTGACACATCGCTTGCTCTTGTGAGACACCGGGTGCGAGCGCCGGGAGAAACATTTTACCAGAAACACAAAGTGGTTACCAGGGAGGGGGGGTCATCAATAATGATTCTTTAGAAGTGACAATCCAACGATTATTCTAAGACTGCTTTCTCTTGCCTTCGCGTGCCGTTCAACACGTAACCAAAGATACCCGTCCGCTTCGTTTTCGATCGTGCCCCCCATGGGGTTATATCTTTCTTACCTGCCACACGTATGTAGCGCAGCCCGTAGAATAGGGGAAGAGAGGACAAATGGACAGGGGGAGGGAGACGGATGGAACACGGGATTAGCAGGAGGGTGACTTGCAGCAGAAAGCATGTGGCAGAACCAAACGGGCCTACCGGGCGGGCTAGACGCTAACAGGCGGGTCTGGAAAGCGGGCCCAAGCGGCCAGGTCGAGCAGTCGGGTTGCGCATCAATAGCGAGGAGGTAACGAAAGATAGCGCGATTCCCAAATTAATGGCGACAACAACCAAAGCGCGAGCGCGATTCCTGAGCGTCGAGAGCCCGGCATTTCAGTACATTGTGAGAAGTTCTGCGCGAGAACGCGATGTTGTTGAACCCTCACAAAAGAATAATGATTGTGAATCTTCCCCTCCCGGTAACAAATGTGTTTCTCAATTGAAGTGTCCGTTCTCGGAAAATATTTTTCCTCTGACTGTTTTTTGGCAGTGAAAATATTACGCATGTTCCTTGCAAAGAAAATCGTATTCCTCAAACTGTGCCCTGGCCCACGGTGTACAACAACAACAACAGCTTCCGCCGCATACTTCCTCGCAGTGTACTGGGGAATCGCGATGTCGCCAAGGACCTCTTTGCAATTTGTCCAAGAATCGCGCTCTCGCCAGTGATTTCCTAGCAGTTTGTTCAAGCGCCACGCCCTCGCCATTCAATCGCTCACGCCTGGGACTTCCCCATAATTTACTGCACGAATCGCGCTCTCGGCTGAGACTGTTGGACAACCAAAAAAAACACAACACACACGCATTCGCGTAACATGCGTTATTTTTAAATTGAGGTGCCCCCCCCCGGGCTCGCACACTTCTTGTTTATTTTTAGAATTCTGCCTGCTCAAACTGTACCCCGGCCCCCAGTTTACAACAACAGCGGCTCCCGCATGATACTTCCTTGCGAATTGTTGAAGAATCGCTCTGTCGCTAGGGCCTGCGTCGCCCGATACTTCGCCGCAGTATATTCAAGCGTCGCGTTTTCGACGCTCACGAATCGCGCTGCCGCTTGGGACTTCCTCGCAATTGATTCAGGCACCGCGTCCAAAACACTCAGGAGTCACGCTCCCGCACTGGATGGAATCCCCCATGAAATGTATGTTGGAATCGCGTTGTCGCTCAATGCTTCTTCGTCACGGTTCATGCAGGACGCACGCTTCAGCAACCCGCCTGCTCGACGTGGCCGCCTGGGCCCGCCTGTCAGGGTTTATCCGCCCGATCTGCCCGTATGGTTGTGTCACATGTGTTTTGCTCCTATCCGCCCTCCTACTGCTCCCTCTCTATGTGGTCAATCCTCCTCTCTCCCCCTTGCCCTTCCCTTCCATACGTCCTCTCTCCCCCTGCCCTGGGGTGCTTCACGAAATACACGTTTAATAAAATAATACCACCACGGGGATACGACCGAAGACGATGAGGGTGGGACATCGAGGGTTTGGGATCTACGTGTTGAATGGCACGCGAACGCATTAAAACGAACTGTGTTGATATGGTTGTTGTTAAACTAAATGTTGTTGGTGGTGTTGTCGCTGTTGCTGTTGTTGCTTGTGTTGGTGATGGTGCTGTTGTTGTTGTTGTTGGTGTTGTTGTTTTTGTTGGAATATCCGGATACGTGTGGTTGATCCCCCTACAATTACTGTATGTGTCAACTAAAGTGCCTCCTCCGTGGATCGCGCCCTGAACTTTACAAGGGAAACGACGTGTCACCAAACTGTGTTGTTGGGCGCGGGTTTACAGTAACAGCGGCTCCCGCCGGATACTTCCTCACCGTTGATTCTACAATCGCGCTATGGCGCGGGACGTCCCCACAGTGTATGCTGAAGTCGCGCTCTCGCGTCGGATTTCTTCGCAATGTATTCAAATGCCGCGCCCTCGACAATCAGGAATCGCGTTCTCGCTGTGGTTCTCCTCACGATGTATTCGGGAATCGTACTGTCGCTCGAAACTTCCTCGCGATGCATGCAGGACACACGCTTCAACAACCCGCCTGGTCGACCTGGCCGCCTGGGCCCGCCATCCCGACCCGCCTGTTAGGCTCTACCCGCCCGATCTGCACATCTGTTTATGCCACGTGTGTTTTGCTCCTGGCCCCCTTCCTGCTACTCTCTCTCTCTCTCTCGTGCTCCATCCTCCTCCCTCCCCCTTGTCCCTTCCTTCCATCCGTCCTGTCTTCCCCTGCCGGAAGGGCTGCACGAAGTACATGTTGCAAGAAAAATATGTCCCCGACGGGGTATGATCGAAGACGAAGAAAACAAATATCGAGGTTGTTCGAAGTACGTGTTGAATGGCACGCGAGCAGACCAGAGCGAACAATATTACAACGATT